CTTTCTTTAGACTCGACTCTCTAAAGACTCAACTGTACTGAGATCTGTCCTGGTAACGATCATCATCAGAGCTTTGATATATTGTATAATGTTTGTTGTCATTGTTGTTGTTCCCTGCTGCTGGCTGCAGCAGGGTCCTCTCAGTCCTGGTTCTGGTTCTCCCGTACCTCACTTCCCTCCAGCGGGTCCAGCAATACGTCCTGGGTCTCCAGCAGCGTGGTGTCGGTGTTGACTCCCAGAGAGGAGAAGCTCTGCTCCTGGAGGAGGAGGAGGAGGAGGAGACGCTGCTGCTGCTGCCGGGAGCTGAGCTCTCCTCCTCCCTCCAGAGACACAACATTTAGTTGCCGAATTACTATTTATTTATTTATTTATTGCTCCTGTTCTTTTTTATTATAGCTAAAAGCTGATTCACTAAATGTTTCAGTCAAAAGACTTCAACACTAATTACTCAGCTCAAACCCCTAATTAGAATAATAAAATGTTGCTTCACAGCATCTTAATACTTCCTTCTTCTTCCCTCCATCTCAGGCATCATCCACCAGATGAAGGGGGAGTATGAGACGGCGCTGAAGCTCCACAGAGCCCACCTGTCCTTCGCCCAGGAGCTGAGTGATTACGCTGCCCAGGGTCGGGCCTACGGCAACATGGGCAACGCCCATCACGCGCTCGGCATCTACGACCAGGCCGTCCGCTACCACCGCCAAGAGCTGCAGATCTCTCTGGAGGTGACCCTCAAGCCACGTGGAGCTACGCTCGTGTTGGACAAACACCAGCGTCACGTCTCTGTTATGTCTTTTTTTCTCAGGTGAACGACCGTCCGTCCCAGGCCTCCACGCATGGTAACCTGGCCGTGGCCTACCAGGCGCTGGGCGCCCACGACCGAGCCCTGCAGCACTACCTCCACCATCTCGCCATCGCACGGGAGCTCCAGGACACCCAGAGCGAAGCCAGAGCACTAGGCAAGAAGAAGCCGGAGCACTTGAGGACAGAAGAGAGGGGATTTATTCTTTTTTACTGATTCATAACTATTCTCCTCTTTTGCAGCAAACTTGGGCAACTTCCACAGCTGGAGAGGCGAATACGCTCAGGCCTTGCCGTACTACCAGCAGTACCTGGCTCTGGCTCCGGGTCTGCAGGACCTGGAGGGAGAAGGGAAGGTTTGCCACAACCTCGGCTACGCTCACTACTGCCTCGGACAGTACCGGGACGCCGTCAGGTCAGAGACCGAATCCATCTCATGAAACACAAACGTTTTATGACGGGAACATGTTTGTTTTCACAGAGGGATGAGAAACTGACTATTTTAAATTCTAGTGGAGATTCCAAAGTTTAAAAAGATGCCAAGAAATGTTTCTTACAAGGCATCTTAAATATTTCTATTTGATTAAATGTTGCAGCCATAAAAAAAACATGGAGTGTTGGGGCTTGATTCAGGCGGAAAACTGAAGCCAAAGCTTCTTGTATTAAAGCTGCATTCTCTCTAGTGTCCTCTGGTTGTATAGAAGTCTATGAGAAAATGACTCTACTTCTCTC